AAGGAGAAGGAGAAGGAGAAGGAGAGGAGAAGGAGAAGGAGAAGGAGAGAGAGAGAGAGAGAGAGAGAGAGAGAGAGAGAGAGAGAGAGAGAGAGAGAGAGAGAGAGAGAGAGAGGAGAGAGGAGGAGAGGAGGGAGGAGGAGGAAAGGAGAGGAGAAGGAGAGAGAGAGAGGAGGAGGAGGAGAAGGAGAAGGAGAAGGAGAAGGAGAAAGAAGAGAAAGAGAGAGAGAGAGAGAGAGAGAGAGAGAGAGAGAGAGAGAGAGAGAGAGAGAGAGAGAGAGAGAGAGAGAGAGAGAGAGAGGAGAAGGAGAAGGAGAGAGAGAGAGAGAAAAGGAGGAGGAGGAGAAGAGGAGAAGGTGGAGGAGGAGAAGGAGAGGAGGAGGAGAGAGGAGGGAGAGGGGGAGAGAGAGAGAAGAGAGAGAGAGAGAGAGAGAGAGAGTGTGTGTGTGTGTGTGTGTGTGTGTGTGTGTGTGTGTGTGTGTGTGTGTGTGTGTGTGTGTGTGTGTGTGTGTGTGTGTCTTTGTGTGTGTGTGTGTGTGTATGTTTGCGTGTGTGTTTGTTTGCGTGTGTGTGTGTGTGCGTGTGTGTGTGTGTATGCGTGTGTTGTGTGTGTGTATGCGTGTGTGTGTGTGTATGCGTGTGTGTGTGTATGTGTGTGTGTGTGTATGCGTGTGGTGTGTGTGTGTGTATGCGTGTGTGTGTGTGTATGCGTGTGTGTGTGTGTATGCGTGTGTGTGCGTATGCGTGTGTGTGTGTGTGTGCACATGCAGATTAATCTGACACGCAGGTCAGAAAAAGAGAGGGAAACATGGCGGTGACCAGAATTTAAAACATTATTTGTACAACTGAAAACTCTACACAGTCTTCCCTTCCCTTAAAGCAAATAAACCCGTCAAATTCCTTCAAGTCTACCCTCCCATTGCTTCGACAAACAGTTAATGCACATTGCTGGAACGAATGGTTAACCTATGCCTAACAGTTAATCACTCATAGTTTATGGCCTTGAATGATCCACACTGCGTCATCTTCTACCCTCTGCACCAACCTCAAGGCAACTCAAATACGGCGCTGCAAGACTCAACGTCCATATTCTGAAAATAGATGATGTCATTAGCAATGATGTTGATGGAAATGCAGGTTGAGGTAATGAATGTCCCAGTGTCAACAAAAGCAACAGCATCAATAAGATTTATCATTGCAGCTGGGACATTGATAATAAACATAACGTAAGCAATGACAAAAGCATACTTGTAACCGTGGGTATGTACGATAAAAATAACAGAAATACTATTAATATCGACAATGGCATATCTCGGAACAATAACAAATCAATAATAATAATCTTAATGATGATGGCACTGATTATAATTAGAACGCAAAGAACTTTAACATTGTATAGATTTAAAAATTGAGTTAAGAATTATAGCAGCACATGTGTAGTGCCGGGTTAAGAAGTGTAACGAGGAAATCATATAATTTTTCTGATGACTTACATCTCGATTCCTTTCCTTCCTTTTCCTCCCCTCCATTGGGTCATAGAGCTTGGTCATTCGCTTGAATTTGTTGACCTTTTTCTGGTTGTCATGCTGAAGGTATAAGAAACTAGTTTAATCAAAATGATCACGAATTGTGAAAAAAAGCTCAAACGTAACAAAAGTGGCAACATTTGTAGAAATATCAGCTGTATTTCAGAATGAACATCATACTGAAATACTCACACGTCGCTTCTGTCAGCTGATGTCTCCGCTCTCACAGACTGCTAGAAAAGTGAAAGGAATTACTATCACCAAACATGAAAAAAAAAACAATATTGAAAAAAATACACACTTCGTCCCCTCTCTTTCTCTCTCTCTCTCTCTCATTTTTAGCAATCCTGTCGATTTTTACTGTCGTTCGCAACAAAAATATCGTCCTAGATTTGAGTCAAAAATAGTAACAGTCTATTTCATGCCACATCAAAGAGTAGCTTAGGCTTATAATTTCGCGTGACTGTCATCAAACTCTGGGACCCAAATGTTCGCACTTCGCGGTCAGACTCCGTTAAAAATTTATTTGCTGATCCGATTTTTTGTATGATACCAAATATTGAATCTGGGCGGAATATTTCAACACAAACCGAGACGACAAATCATGCAACGGTTTGTCACAGGCTGTGTTTACCTAATTCAACTGCCATATTCCATGAAGACTGGATTTTCGTATATTCATATGTCAGCTTTTGTCTTTCATCTTTTTACGTGCTTAAATCGCCTTTAATAGCAACTAACTAAATAGAAACTATAACTCAATATGTAACTAATATAATATGTCTCTTCGCCATTCAAAATAACCTGAAAAGATTGGTCCACGTGTGTGAAATTAACCACCGATTTAAAGTATTTCCGCCCATTTAAATGTAATTTTTCCTAAAACCTCGCGGCACTTGTAAGGAAACACCAATTATCGCCAAGAATTTTGCTTGAGTTTACCTCAAAATGAAAAAGAAACCTCGCCATTTAAA